TTTTTTTTGTTTTTTTTTTTTATTATTATGGTCACTTTAACACTCTTGGGTCATTCGTGACTTGTCCGGGGGTGAGATTTGAACTCCTGACTTTGGCGTGAGAGGTAAGGATGTTGACCACTACGCCGGGGTCGTATTGTATAGTTCTATAATTTGGGTTATCGTTCGTTTATGGTTATTTTTTATTAGGGTAGCTACAATATAAATCCTATTTGAGCGCATTGTATGAATATTTACGCTCATTGTTCGCAAAACAAAAGAAGCGCTCCTAGCGAATCCCATTTTTCTACGTTTATCCGTAGGACGAAGAAAATCTAATGACGTTTCAATGCGTTTGGACGGAATTGGAACTCTTAGGACGAATTTAGAATCAAGATTTGTGACAATGTGTGACTCTTTATGAAATCCAACGATACGCATGGAAAGGCGAATAAATTCAGAAGTCATCTTTCACAGAAATATTCCCTTTTTTTGTTCAGACCCGTTCAAAAAAGAACGGTAAAACGCGGGTTGTTCTTAGTAGGACGGAAATTAGATCAAAAACCCTACATTTCTCGATTGCATTTTCGAGGGGGCGTGTCTACTTTTGTGGGCAGTGCATTTGATGGTCGGTGTGGTATGGCTGGTGGCTCGCCCGCGCGTACTGCGCCGATAAGGTAAAGGAAAATTTTCCCTATCTGATGGTGGTGTTGACGTGCGTGGGCGGGATGCCGGTTGCGCCGGATTGGGAATCGCATGCATTGTTTGCGGGAGCGTATGCGTCCCTTCAGTGGCGTAATCGAGATTTATTTCCATCGTTCCCCTTTGTCAGAGGATGACTTCGATCGCATGAAGCATGTTCCTTGAGTTTTAACGGTTAGGTGTCTATGATTTTTTTAAAGTAGTAGCATGATTTGTCAAGAAAATAAATGTCGCAATCGAACATGCAAGTTTGGCACTTGACCGATTAGTTTTTGTTGTGTAGGTGTGTCCTTAACATGATGAGGGCCGTGGTTGAAGACTGACGGTAGTCACGGCGGGTCGTGTTTGATTTTGGGGTTTGGTGTTTTGACGTAGGACTACGTCTTTGATTTCTATATGGGGGTACACTTTGTGAAAACCGAAAATGGAACATGTAACAAATTAAGAAAGATTTTGAACGTTAATAACTCAGCTGCCCCTGGTCCAATTTCAATAATTTTATCATCAATCGATCAGAAATATGGCTACGCATCGATAACAATGCTTTCGAATGTTTATTTTCAACAATAAACTATTGAAAAACTGGTAAATATCCAGCATTGTCCAAAAGCGTCGAATTAACTAACAAATCCACCAATTTCCTACATGCATATGCTGCTTCCCCAGCACAGTCGTCAGAGAGTAGTAAGTAGACGAAACAAGTCGAAGTGGCATTCGCCTCCGATCCTCTGGCGCGTGCGAATAGGTAGGACGAAATTGCGTAATAGTTTGCACACTCATCGCCATATTCAGAACCACACAAACGCGCATTTAGCTACCTGTTATATAGACAACCAGCTCTGCCGGTACCATATTTTCTCACTTCTCATTGGTTACTGTGTATAGCCAATAGAAAGCGAGAAAATATGGTACCGGCAGAGCTGGTTGTCTATATAACAGGTAGCTAACTGCGCCTTCGCATTAGTTGCGATTCATCCGTTCAACTGTAAACATCGGTGTCGATGTCATCGTGTGATAACATCCAGGGCCTGCCATTCATCGTCTGGCTCGACGTGGTGGTGTCAAGCTCATCTCTGGTCTGATGTACGAGGAAACCCGAGGTGTGCTGAAGGTGTGCCGAGAAAATGTGATAATCTTCCAAAGGCTTTACTACTTTTCAGGGCCACCAACATTTTCCAAAAGAGTTGATTTTCTGAATATGTTCCAAATAAAATTCATATCAAAAGGTTCTTTTCAGGGCAATCATAGTCATACTAAAGAGTATAAAAAGAGAGAACCCCGCTAAAATTCCTATTCCTACACAGCCAAAAAATAGTAATATCGATCAATGTAATTCAAGCTGATGTATGAAATAATGATGTAATAGCAAAAAGCAGATACAACATTACATCAATGGATGTAATTTTGTTCGCAAAATCGATGTACATCGTACAACGTTATATTACACAATTGGAATATTCAACAATTTTTTTCCGGTGTACACAAAACACAAGCTCTTGCTGCAGTTAACAAAAATATTTATTATATCATACCACGTAGTCCTACGTCATCATTGCGTACAACCCCATTGGGCTGTCCCTTGTAGTTTTTAAATCTTTTTTCATAAGATTCAAATATTTAATTTGTATGCATGATGTATATAGGGCTTAAAACTATCCATTTGGTGAAAAATCATTCGAATTTTCCACTGAATTTGGTATCATTAATGGAGGTTTTCTTTTGGGATTTAATTTTGTTTTACGACAAATTCTCAAGTGGAAATTTGGTTAACTTCATATTACAACTTATTATTTAATTGGCCGCATGATATCGATTAATTATTTTCAGGTTCTAGTTCTATCATAAAATTCTCAAGTGGAAATTTGGTTAACTTCATATTACAACTTATTATTTAAGTGGCCGCATGATATCGATTAATTATTTTCAGGTTCTATCATAGAATTCCCGGGAAATTCCTGGATATTTTGTTTATGACCATCGTACAGCAACTCAGTCGTAGTCGACCAAAGAGTCACAACCTACTGACGAAATGAGTGGACGGAATGAATAGAATGAATACGATGCGTGTGGTTGCCTGTGTAATTGAAATGACAAACTGTTAGAATGTTTACGTATAAAAAGGGCTAAACAGCTGTGCAAGTTTACTTCTGAAACCTGAACTGCACAGGATTTTGAATTTTTTGCATCCGAATGTAAATTTTTATTCTTTACCATTTGCATTATGCATCGAATCTATAGGAAACTATTTTGTGGGAAAGGGTGTTTAGGTATTCAAGTGTTGCAAATTTTACACTTTGGTACAGCATCAAATTGTTATGCATAGTAATTCATAAGTAATGCATAATAACGGAGCAACGTGAACAAGTAGAAACCGATGAAGAAGATTTTTACGGTTTTGCATCAGATACCATTATCATCGATGCACCCGTACAATCTTCGGCTCCGAGATCTTTAAATACGAGTTCTTCACGTTTTTCAACTACGAGATTTCCAGATGATCCTTCAGAGAAATTAAATGTTCAGGGTTCAGAATTAGGAAGGTTAAGAAAGCGTAAGAGTACGCAAGTTCGAATAAAAGTAGGATTTCTAAACGTTTCATTTTATTTTAGTAAATAATTAACCATTTTGGCCATTGCATATTTTTATTATTTTTATGATTATCACACAAAGAAAAATCGTTGCTAAAATTAAAAAAATCATTGATAGAATTAAAAGTTCACATTGGTTCTTTTTGGTAGAAAGCGGTTGACTTTCAAAACAAAAGTCAGCCAACTGTTAAATCAAAAATTGTTCGCTCTGTACTTTTAAAAGTTAAAGCTTTCAAAATAAATTGTATTACTGTCAAATTAAAAACACGGTAGTGATAGAATTAAAATCAGGTTCTTTTCAATTCAAGACGAAGTTTTGGTTTGAAAATGTGATATAGTTAAAACGATAAGTAACATTTTGAAATAAAAAATACACATTTTCACCGTAATAATATCTTTATTCATTTTAAATTCTAAATAATATTTAATTTAAGGTTTTCAGATATTAGAAAAATAGATTAAAATACATTTATTATCCATTTCCTTTACAAGCGTTATGCAATGAGATTCACGAAGAGACACAATCCCGTCAAGTAAAGGTCGCGTGAAGGAACACAAAATCCGGACACTGGCAAGGCAAGCTTGATATTGTTTACCATTTCGCAATCTGTAAATCCTATGCCGCAGCTTCATAAAGTACCAACTGGTGACGGGTTTTACGGGCAGCGGGTTCTCGTCCTTCTCCCGATCAAAGTTTAATTTACCTTTTCGGTTATTATCCAGCAGGGCTTGATCCTTCTCCAACAGGAATTTGATAACGTCGATACCGAAAACTGTCGCGACTTCGTCCTGGTAGATTCCATAGTCTGATAAAAAAAAGAATCTAAAAATCCAATAACAATAACAATGAAAATAGTGTACTTACCATTTGGAATGCCAATTTCACGTGGGTTTCTACATACCAGCAAATAATGTCGGAATATTCAACTAAGAAAACTTCAGTGTCTGGTATCCCACAGAAGAATCCTGACTCTTGTGGTAACTTCAGAGCTGCATTTCATGTTCACAGCGGCCAGACTAGCAGAAAAGGCGGCATATGAGATGTCAGTGCAGCCAGTAAAAACATCGTTGAGGGGTACTTTTGACAGTTTAACAACTTTTGTTTTAAAAATATGTACTTTTAAAACCACGAATCAAAAGTAAAAGAAAAACTTTCAATTAAAAAAACTTACTTTTATTTTGAATATTTTTGCTGTTGAATCTACAAATTTTGGGAAACTTTTAATTTGAAAATGCATTATTTTTATTAATACAATTTTCGTTGTTTGTGTGAAACTAAAGGGGGAAGAATTGTAGGAGCTCAGTCGTAGTCGACCAAAGAGTCCGAACCTACTGGCGAAATGAGTGGACGGAATGAATTGAATGAACACGATGCCTGTGGTCGTCTGTGTACTTAATATGACAAACTGTTAGAATGTTTACGAAAAAGGCCTATCAATAAACAGCTGTGCAAGTTTACTTTTGAAACCTTAACTGTCGACAAGTGTTTTATTTACTCCACAGAAGAAAGACTCCTCTTGCTACTGGCCATTATCTCGGTCATCCATGCAACCATGTTTTAAAATGGCTGAATCTAGATAGATGATATCACTAAATTTCAGCGAAAAAAAAATCTTAAAAAAGTGCTATCCATCGCTTTTATGATGTATGTATATGCTTTAAGTATAATCATACGAAATAGACTTTCCTCAGGTGTAATATTTACTGTATGATAACGAAAAAAACACATACGTTATGATCCTCGCAGGACGGATCCCGTTTCCATGCTTCCTGATCTCCGCAATCACAGCAGCCACCACCACCTGATGTTGACATTTTATATTTGTGGACTCTGTGTGAAGATTTTTTAAAACACGAAGAACATAGCACACATGTTGGATCCATGCCTAAAATGAAAAAAAAAAACATTCGAACCATAATAGCTGCATAAAATGCTTGAGAATAACTTACTGCATTCGCGACAACTGTACGTAGGTTCACCAATTTTAAATACTCGGCCACAGATCGATGCGACATTATCCTCTAGCTTGAGGCGCTCCAAAAATGATTGGGAATTATCACCACAAATAAATTTTTCTATCACGTCAATTACAGCATGCTTGGAGGCTTGTTCGTCAAAAGCATAGGTTCCTAAAAATAATTGTAAAAATGTAAAAAAAAAATAAAAATTTCATTTTCAAACACAGAAGGGGGTCATAGGGCCAGGTCTCCAGTGAAACATCACTGCCCATGCACAAGGGTAGAGGTAAAGATTTGGCACCACAGAATAATAATCACAGGGATCAAGTGAATCCTACTTAAGAGGCCGGATAGGGAGGAATAGTGTTTCAAGTAGGTGATAGTTGGAGTAACAATAATAATAGTAAAAGTTGGAAAGTAAACGCACAGAGGACTATGATTTGCAATACCTGTAAATCTTGTTTTAGGATTTCATTTACTTGAGTTATTGATTAGTTTGACACGCACTTCTTACCAATCTGGAAAATCTATCAATTGACCACTTGTCAAGCAGTTTTGGCTTGACTTTCTACCAGCGATTTCACAAAACTGGACCAACTGGTTTTTATTTTTTTTTTGATGAAACACACAAATGTTGGCTACTTTTCTCGAGGTTCTAGAAGAAAAAATCTCAAAATAATGTTTTATTTCAAAGTTCGAGTAGTAGTAAATCTCATTTTAACTGCTCGAATGAAGTGGTTAATTCACCGAAGGCAATTAAATTAAAATGAAGGAGAGTTCTGTTAGTTTTGATCCGTATTTAGCCCTGCTGACCACTATTTGCAGGCAATTGTTGTTAGATCGTGTGACACTGCTACTACTACTAGGTTAATGCATACTGTTTTAAAACGCAATTTTTCAATTAAGGTTTGCTTCTTGTCTTTCAATAAATTATTCAATTAGGATCTTGCTTTCCTTTAATTTCATGAATTGATTTTCGAAAATTTGCTCAAAAGGGTTTAGTTTACATATCCTACCTTACCGAAAACATACTAAAGCACAACAATCCTAATTCTCATCTCAAATATATCAAAATATTTAACACATCCTTCCCAAAACCACACTAATTCGTAAGCGTGTGATCGAATATGACTTTTACTATTGACATTGCCTGTAAATTAACAAATACACTAAATAGGAAGATTTATTCTACAAATGAGAAATAACTTTTAAATTATAATTAATTAATTTTAACAGTTCAGATCAATAACATCTTATCATGTTTTACAAAAAAAGCAAAATTTCAACAAATTTGAAAGAATTTGCCATATGCCTGCAGTTGCCTGTTGAACTGTGGTCGTTATTTTACCTAACAAGGTCTACACTAATCACTGTAAAAAAAATTGGCTGCTACTTTTTGCTATATTTTGAGTAATTGACATTTTTGTGCATAAATTTTTTGAGACATTCATGTTAATAACTTTGTAATAAAGCATGATATATAAAATAATGGGACTTTATTGGATGAGTCAAACTGTTTTGATAATTAGCAGAGTATAAAACTTTTACATTTGACGTATATAGGTGAAAAAAAAGGAAAAACCGCCATTTTAGAGGTTAGTTTTCCTAATTACCCGATATCTCGCTTAATGTGAGTCATAGAGTTTCGATGTCTTTGTGGTGGATACGCAAACCAATTGAAAAACAGTTTGATTAAGACGCAATCATTTCCGTTAAAAGTGTCGATGCGCAACATAAACGAAAAACAAACTTGTAAATCAAAATGACATTAATGTATACCAAGCATTTCCACTGGGTCTCAAATAAACATTCCTAAGAAATCCCAAATGCAATAAACATGTTTACTAGGTCAAGCGCAAGACGATCAACAACGCACGCAGACGGCGCAATGAATGAAATGATTGTTTGCATAGCTAAGCATACTTGCAATAAGCATAATCGATTGCGTGTGACTTTTGCCACATGGTATCGGGTCAATTCGTAAACAACAGGAAGCAACATATCAACATAGGACTTGGGAAAGATTCAGCATAAACAATATTGAATTCTATCTGCGCAATTGGTTAATTAATAAAACTAACTGAAACTGAAATATACATTATTCTACAATCGCAAGTCAGAGTGTTATTAACTTCGAATTCCAGTTCATGGCGATCCTGCCAGGAGAGTTGGTATTTAAGAAAAGTGATTGAAGTTTAAGTTTTTTTTTTGTTTTCAACATTCAAAAAAAAAAGTGTTAGTAAATTTTTAAAAAGATTATGAAAAGTATATAAACACAGTGCAGTGAATAAAAGTGAAATATGTCAGGACTTAATAGTGAAAATTTTTAAGAGGACGTGGCATCGGACTTCTGCAGTTCGTTCGGCAATTTTCAGGGCGTGGAAGAGGTCAACCAATATTCCCACCACCACCAGGAGGATCAGAGGTATGGTTAGATTGTAAAAAATACGATGACAAGCAAAATGACGAGGTGGACCGCCAATTGGAAAAGTGTTAATGAAAAGTTTAGTGTTTCATAAAACAGAAAAGTTTAGTGTTTCATAAAACAGATATAACACCCCAGGATATTTTTTTTTTGTTTTTCATGCAAATTTTTGGCGAAGTAAGTCCTGGAAGGTATTACAACTCAAAGAAAACGTTTTGTAATTCATTGAAAATTAATAAAAACTCACGATGGGAAAACCCCAATCTAAAGAAGAAGTTGAGCAAAGTGGACAGCAAATATTTTCAGTAATTGAAAATCAGGAAGTGCACACAGACCTTCATGAGAATCACAAAATTAAATTGAACATTATAATTTTCTTGTTGGTTCTAATATTCTTTGTGGTACTTATAAAAATAATAAGAAATTTAATGAGACAAGATGCAGTAAAAGCTGCGCGAATAATTAAAACATTGAATACAGAAGTATAAAAATATGTAATACAAACTTATCATATGTGATTAAAAAATAATCGTCGAAACAATATGATGAAAAAAGAAGAAAAAGACAATTTGCTGAATATTTTAAGGAAGCGATATCCCAGCAGAGTTCCAAAACGTACAGAAGATATTTCAAAAAGTGAAGTGATTGAATTCTACACAGGAGACAGAGGGATCAGCATTTATAATAACCGGCTCGATGATAAAATATACCAAATTCCGCTGCAGGAGCCTGATCACATTTTGTTCCAAAATCGTTATGGCATCCTGGAATGGAGACCACAATGCCCATGAATGAAGAAAACTAAGTTAATTTAAATTATAAGTTATAATAAAAAGATAATTAAAATTTTAATGTATGGAAGAGTTATTAGACATACAAGATATTATATTACAATTGCAGAGCAATGTGAAGAAAAGTCGTAAGTATACACAACCAACTAAAGAGAAGAAAATTGAAGAATTATTATTTCTACGAAATAAATTTAAAGCAGTTTTAATAGAGAATAAGAATAATTTTAACATAAATGATTTTAATGCACTAATTAATCGATACAAGAGGATAAAAATAATTGTTAATGAAACTATAGAATTATTAAACGGTAGTGAAGAAAGTAGCACAACTGAATCTAACACAACAACTGACACAACTGAAGGAAAATTCAAGATGACTAATGAAGAAAAACTTGACTTAAGCTTGGCAATAAAGCTTATAGATCATTTTGATGGGAATTCAACAAAGTTATTAAACTTTATCGAAAATGTAAATCTATTGCAAACATACTCCGCAGGAGTACCGGTAAATGATATAATTGATTTCGTTAAAACCAGATTAATTGGTTCAGCTCATGGAGCAATTGATGGGACTGCAACATTGAATCAAGTCTCTAACAGATTAAAGTTGAAATTTGGTGTAAAAATTACACCTAAAGCTATTGAAAATGAAATGTTTGCCCTCAAACAAGGCAAAAAGACTATTTCAGAATTTGGAAATGACATGAATATTCTTGCAGCTAAGCTTGCTGCTGCACATGTTTCACAAGGAACATTCGTAAATGAATCTGCAGCTGCACCAATAGTGGAACCAATAGCTGTGAATGCTTTTGCCGCAGGCCTTCGTGACAACCAAACTTCTTTTTTTTATTAAAGCTAGAAATTCGACAAACCTAACTAAAGCAATTTCTGATGCTTTAGAAGTAGCTCCAATTCCAGCTGCTAACCCAGAAAATGCGTTATGGATTGGAACAAATAGAAGATTTTCTAACCAATCTTATTACAACCAAAATAAACCAAGAAAATACACATTTCCTAATACTCGTATATTTGGGTTTTAGTAGAGCTAAATTTATTTTATACAATCATAGTATAGATTTTGTTATTGATAGTGGAGCCTCTTGTTGTATAATTGACCAAACATACATACCTAAATGGATTGAAATAAATGACAAATATAAAATAAATATTAAGGGAGTTAATGGAATAACTACTTCACTAGGATGTGTGAACACATTTTTAAAACATGGTAAGTTTAAATTTTCAATAACATTTCATGTTGTCCACAACCTACCAAATAATGTCACTGGATTGATTGGAACTGATTTTTTAAGTCAGTATAAGTCAAGAATTGATTTTGAAACCTCAAGTTTAACATTAACAACAAATCAACAAAATATTTGCATCCCTCTGAGTAAAGCAAATGGAACATTTTTAACAATTCCAGCGAGAACAGAAATTATAACATATATTTCTACTAACGAAACAGAGCCTTGTGTGATCCTAGCACAAGAGATTGATTCTCATGTATTTATTGCAAATACTCTTGCTATTCCAGTAAATGGAAAAAATCCAGTTCGTATAATGAATGTGAAAAATTATCCCATAAATTTAAAATCTATTGCACCCCAAATACGAAAATCAAGAGATTATGAAATATTTGAACTCGGTCCAACGCCAAAGTATGACAAAAAAAGAATTGATACCCTTCGATCAGAATTAAATCTTAATCATCTTAATGAAACATATCGAGACATAATATTAAACATTTGTATCAAATACTCTGATATATTTTGCTTGAAAACAGATTCATTAGGAACAACTCCAATTTATAAACAATCTATTGGATTAAATCCTCATACTCAACCAACGTATACCAAACCATACAAACTTCCTCAATCACAAAAAGGAGAAGTTGAAAAACAAATTAATGAAATGCTTAAAGATAATATAATAGAAGAATCAAAATCTGAATG